GTGCTTTTCAAGGTCGTCTTCTTGTGGGTGTCGGAAATCGATTACGAATATATGATCTGGGGAAAAAAAAGTTGTTGAAAAAATGTGAAAACAAGGTACTTTTCTATATCTTGTACCTGGCTCGTTGAGCTACAAGATTTTTATGTTATGAAATTATATTATATTATTATATTATGAAATTATTTGAAGTACAATAACTCCAACTTAGGTTTTAAACTTTTTGTGTATGGGTTGATAATATTGCTTCTGTATGTAGGTAAGTACTAGTTAAATTGAAACTTTTCATTGCAAAGTTGTTGAAATTTGAATGTGTTTGACTGTTAAGGGACTATTATTCATATGGTTACCAATATAAGCAAGGTTTCTTTATACTGATATGTTTGAAGCTGTGATTCATTTAGTTGAAAAACATTCCGAAATTCTTTGTTTCATGTAAAGTACGAATTTTTCCGACCTAAGTAAATGAGTACATGTTGTTCTGCTCACGATAATCTAGCTACATTTTTAAAGTTCATAGCTAGGGATAATGACTGGAGATGCTTCTGACCTCTTTAACCACTAGTCGAGTTTAAATTTATTGAGTGGAAATAAACCAGTAGTTGGTGAGTTAAAGCGCTCTACTGTCAATTATCAAGTCATACGTTTGAACCTACCTTCCCCTGTTTCTGAGTCCTCCACTTTATATATGGTAATTGTGATACAACGTTTATTAGGAATATTTTGAAGAAAAGAATTGTACAGTCAAGCGAAGATATAGCATCAGTCAATTAAGTCATTAACTATTGAGCTGAGCGACGTTGGTAGATGTAGACTGCCTGGTTGGGTTTTACACGATAATCGTGACCAGTGACTAAAAAGAGGTAGCGTGACTCAAAATATGTATCAGCGGCAAAAATGCATTCGTAATTGTTTGGTTTTAGATCCCGAGTTCGGGAATAATTTTATACATTTTATTTTGCGAATTCACTGTTCTCGAATAATTATATTTCTCTATGCTTATTTATTTTATCAGTACTACTATTATACTTATACTGCTACTATTACTATTACTTTGGTATTCGTCTCGTCGTAGCGTAATAACTAAAGTTGATACACACTTTGCTTATGACTAATCTACAAATTGTCAGGGATCCTATATCCAAAAATACAACATACAAGAAAAGGAAATAATCTTAAATCGATATGTGAAATCAAGGTAATTTTCACTCGATCAACTCAACTGAATTTAGTCATTTCTGTTCATTAAATTCCAGTTGCACCCAGTTATTCTGTTCTTAATGCATTTTCCTTATGTTGATTATTTCACCATGATTTTGGTATTCAGAGACAATTAATCCGTTTAGAGAGTTCTGTAGTTAATAATTACTAAATTAGCTGGAATATGAAACCAATCTTCTTTCGTTCCTTCCAATAAATCTTCGTAACAATATTCTTCTTTTAGAGTAACTGAGGTGGGGGGTAGAAGCAAGTATATAGTTCGCAGTTGTCGTTTGAATTATCGTCTCTTCTCTTGCATCCGTTGCACAACTACGAGTGGTTTCTTCATAAACATCTTTCTTTTAAGAGGTCATAAGTGGTAGTATGATGTCAGCTAGTTTTATTCGATTTACTTTTGTTTATTTTATGTTTGGATCAATTAAGCATTTTATAATTCTCATCACCTATATCAAACATTGCACGATACGGTATCATTCATCACAAAATTAATTTATTCCAATAAACATTGTTGTGATCAATGTATTTTTGGGTTTCTCAATCAATGATGAATCATTTAGTGAGTTGTATTACACAATTCATTGCTTATTTGAGATGAAATTTTTTCAAACCTGATATTTGTAAATCAAATAATAATGGTATTCTTCCTTTTGATTGTCTTTTCAGCATATTCCTACCCTAATCAATGGTATTTATTCTGTAGGCAGTCGGATAATTGTGACAGATGTTCAAGAAAGTGTTCATTGGGTCCGTTATAGACCACGCTCTGATAGCCAATTAGTTATATTTGCGGATGATACTAATCCCCGTTGGATTGTACATTTAGCAGTATTGGATGCTTCAACAGTGGCGGTTTCAGATAAGTTTGGAAATGTCACTATTCTGCGTTTACCACCTAATGTTATCGATGATATTGAAGATGATCCTAGTGGTAATCGCGCGCTTTGGGACAGAGGTTTCCTTGGCGGAGCAAGCCAAAAGTGTGACGTATGTCCGCATTGTATTTTAATTTATTTTTATCAATTCTAGGTGCTATGCCATTTTTACGTCGGTGAGGTTGTTACTTGTTTACAGAAGGCTACTTTGATCCCTGGAGGTTCTGAGGGTATTGTTTATTCAACAATATCTGGTAGCATCGGAATGTTGGTTCCATTTGCTTCTCGAGATGCCTATGATTTCTTCCAACATTTGGAGCTACATATGAGAGCTGAAGGATTATCACTAGTTGGTCGGGAACACGTACATTATCGTTCACAACATTATCCAGTTAGAGTATGTTTACTTTCTTAAACTAAGACAAATTTGTGTGTGCACTTTTATTCTTAAAGAATGCATTTGGTGATGTTTTATTTTGTTAAATAAAAGTGCTTTTACTGAAATCACTGAATAAATATTTTGAAATCGAACTTGATTAGGATAAAATGATGATACATTTTGGTGTATCTTACCATACAAAATTAAGTTCGTTTTTATAGATTTGATAATAAACGTAATAGTAAATACTACTCCTTAAAACAAACATTCACCAGTATGCGCAAACACAGTATTTAAATGTACCTTATGTATAAACTAATAATTTTTAGCATACACTATGTGCAGACATAATCTATATTGAATAAAAAAAAGCTTCAATTAGTCATTTGGAAAATAACTCTAGATTTATTTTCAGTATTTTTAAACATTTATTTATCACTAATAATGATATAACTCCAATTTAGGAAATATAACTATTGTGATTTTCACGCTCATTTTCAGAATGTGATTGATGGTGATCTCTGTGAAATTTTCAACTCTCTAGAAGGCACTAAACAAAGATCAATCGCTGAAGAAATGGATAAAACTCCTAGTGATATCGCTAAACGTCTGGAGGATATACGTACTCGCTTCGCATTCTAAATTCTTGAAATAAATAAACATAATACACGTTTTTAAGTGTGCCCATGTTTTAATGTAAATAAATTTTATAATGTCTTCTGACTCTAGCTTTTTTAATTGATAAATTGTGATTATGATCTAGTAATGTGTCCTTTATTGACTTTTTGCTAAATGAAGCTCTAAAGACTATTTTTAAATGATGCTTTACCAGTTAAAATGCCAGACTGTAAACCACCTAAATTCACGTTAGGATGTACATTTGAGAATCACTTTTTGTTATTATCATACGCACAAGTATGAAAAAATATTTTAAAAAGTAACATTATAGCTATAGTGATGTGCATTCTTCAACTTACAAAGACTAAATTTCATTGATGATACGTACTCATCTTTGATGTATGAGAATACCGGACATATTCTGCATAAAATAAAAAAAATACTTCGAAATGCTGTGTGTAATGTGACTGAACTATTGTTGATGTTATTAATTTGAAACAGCTGTGGTGATGACGATTTGGGGTTTGGAGTGAGGGACATAGGTGCCAGATGTTGTATTGAATTGAATGAGGCTAACTGACTGACTGATTGACTGACTGGTCAGTCGAGCGTAATGTGATTCAGACAGGGTGATGTGTTTAGTTAGAGATAGGTATGAGGATGTTTCGTTTAGATGGGTGTGTGACTGAATAGGTGTTTTGAGTGAGAGTGAGTGAGTGTGTGTGTGTGTGTTGATGGTGACTTTGTGTATTTGTGATAATTGAGTAGTTGGATTGGTTGTGTTTTGATATTAGTGTTGATTGATGCAAGTGTGACACTACATGTGCCTGATTCGAGTACGAGGATACAGAGTGTCAGCTTGCTACATTGTTGTTTCCGTCCTCTTCCCTGCACAGACTCTGATGCCTGTGTCAGGTGTACAGAACGGATATATCTGTTAAATCGTTGTTGTTGTTGTTGTGTGTGTGTGTGTGTGGTATTATTATTATTGGTGGTGGTGGTGATTTTGCAGTATTGTAGTTAATGTACAAGTTGTTGAGGTCTTTGTATTATAGTTGGTTGTTGTTGTGACGTGTGTTATTTGTGCAGATGTGGTGAGTGTATTGATGAGAGGTAAGCGAGGATTAGTTGTGCTTGTAATTGAGAGAGTGTTGTGATGGATGAGTAGGTGGAGAGACTTAATATGAGTGAATTGTTTATTTGACTGTTGGAGTGGATTGTGAAGGAGAATAATTCGGTGTTGTCTGAGCCTATATTCGTGATGCGAGTATGAGGTCAAGTGGACACCGTACAATGAGTGGCAGATGTCGCACGACTTGTCTGTGTTTGACAAGAACGGAGACTGTGTTGTTTATCATTCGACGGTTTTTGAGTGAAGATTGATTATTTGTCGATGGGACTGTAGGGTTAGTGTGAGAGTGTAGTGGTAGTTGTGTGTGTGTGTGTGTGTCTGTGGAATGACAAGCATTTGTTGTGTTTGGCAAATGAAGGTGTAGTGTGAGTGGTTTTCTGATGAGTGTTGGTGTTGATCGTTCGTACTGAGATTGTGGATGGATGGGCAGACGCTGTGATCGTGGGAAGTCACTGTGTCTGTTTCTTACTTTTGTGCGTTTGTGAGTTGTGTGTTTTAAGTTCGATCAGCTGTTCTACATGATGCTTGCAAGTTCTACCAGTTATACTGAATGTGATCCGAATGATTGTGATGACTGGTGTTTTAAGAATTGTGGGGAGGTGGATCGGTGGAGTGTTTTTGTAATATCTCGACTGTCTTCACTGAATACTCTGTAATGTCAATGTAGTGTGTTTATGCTGATGGTTTTGGGTTCGATTGTTGACGTGTTTATTTGTGGAAGAGGCATTATACGAGGTGTGTGCTTTGATGCTACCTGATCGTGTGTTTGTGATATGTGCGTGGGTCGGTGGAGTTGGTTCGGTGATGATGCTGATATGTGATGGTTGAATTGTAGTGTATATTTGACTGGTGTGCGTGTGTGTGTGAGAGAGAGAGAGAGTAGTCGGATGTTGAAGTGATTGGTGTAATATTGTGTGGTTTATTGAATGGTGTTGATGATGGGATTTCAGTTTGTGTTGGTGTTTTGATTTTGGTGTCCAAAGACCACTGTACCGATTTGCAAGGTATGCGTTGGGGGACGGGACACCTACATGAATCTATGATGTCGCATTCTGGAACTCGGTAGAATATAGTTCCGGTGCACATCAGACATTGTTTGTGAATTTGTCTTTGTGTGATTTGGATAGGAATTTGTATTTGTGTGACAGGAGACGAGTGATTGTGTGTTTACATAGGAGAGGCTGTTTGTTTGGAAGTAGAGGATTGTTTGAGATATGTGTGTGTGAGTGTGTGTGTGTGTGTGTGGAATTTGTTGGGTTGTCAGTGGAATGTGACTGTTTTGTTGTTGATGTTGTTAATTTGAAGCAGCTGTGGTGATGACGATTTGGGGTTTGGAGTGAGGGACATAGGTGCCAGATGTTGTATTGAATTGAATGAGGCTAACTGACTGACTGATTGACTGACTGGTCAGTCGAGCGTAATGTGATTCAGACAGGGTGATGTGTTTAGTTAGAGATAGGCATGAGGATGTTTCGTTTAGATGGGTGTGTGACTGATTAGGTGTTTTGAGTGAGAGTGAGTGAGTGTGTGTGTGTGTGTTGATGGTGACTTTGTGTATTTGTGATAATTGAGTAGTTGGATTGGTTGTGTTTTGATATTAGTGTTGATTGATGCAAGTGTGACACTACATGTGCCTGATTCGAGTACGAGGATACAGAGTGTCAGCTTGCTACATTGTTGTTTCCGTCCTCTTCCCTGCACAGACTCCGATGCCTGTGTCAGGTGTACAGAACGGATATATCTGTTAAATCGTTGTTGTTGTTGTTGTGTGTGTGTGTGTGTGGTATTATTATTATTGGTGGTGGTGGTGGTGGTGGTTTCGCAGTATTGTAGTTAATGTACAAGTTGTTGAGGTCTTTGTATTATAGTTGGTTGTTGTTGTGACGTGTGTTATTTGTGCAGATGTGGTGAGTGTATTGATGAGAGGTAAGCGAGGATTAGTTGTGCTTGTAATTGAGAGAGTGTTGTGATGGATGAGTAGGTGGAGAGACTTAATATGAGTGAATTGTTTATTTGACTGTTGGAGTGGATTGTGAAGGAGAATAATTCGGTGTTGTCTGAGCCTATATTCGTGATGCGAGTATGAGGTCAAGTGGACACCGTACAATGAGTGGCAGATGTCGCACGACTTGTCTGTGTTTGACAAGAACGGAGACTGTGTTGTTTATCATTCGACGGTTTTTGAGTGAAGATTGATTATTTGTCGATGGGACTGTAGGGTTAGTGTGAGAGTGTAGTGGTAGTTGTGTGTGTGTGTGTGTGTCTGTGGAATGACAAGCATTTGTTGTGTTTGGCAAATGAAGGTGTAGTGTGAGTGGTTTTCTGATGAGTGTTGGTGTTGATCGTTCGTACTGAGATTGTGGATGGATGGGCAGACGCTGTGATCGTGGGAAGTCACTGTGTCTGTTTCTTACTTTTGTGCGTTTGTGAGTTGTGTGTTTTAAGTTCGATCAGCTGTTCTACATGATGCTTGCAAGTTCTACCAGTTATACTGAATGTGATCCGAATGATTGTGATGACTGGTGTTTTAAGAATTGTGGGGAGGTGGATCGGTGGAGTGTTTTTGTAATATCTCGACTGTCTTCACTGAATACTCTGTAATGTCAATGTAGTGTGTTTATGCTGATGGTTTTGGGTTCGATTGTTGACGTGTTTATTTGTGGAAGAGGCATTATACGAGGTGTGTGCTTTGATGCTACCTGATCGTGTGTTTGTGATATGTGCGTGGGTCGGTGGAGTTGGTTCGGTGATGATGCTGATATGTGATGGTTGAATTGTAGTGTATATTTGACTGGTGTGCGTGTGTGTGTGAGAGAGAGAGAGAGTAGTCGGATGTTGAAGTGATTGGTGTAATATTGTGTGGTTTATTGAATGGTGTTGATGATGGGATTTCAGTTTGTGTTGGTGTTTTGATTTTGGTGTCCAAAGACCACTGTACCGATTTGCAAGGTATGCGTTGGGGGACGGGACACCTACATGAATCTATGATGTCGCATTCTGGAACTCGGTAGAATATAGTTCCGGTGCACATCAGACATTGTTTGTGAATTTGTCTTTGTGTGATTTGGATAGGAATTTGTATTTGTGTGACAGGAGACGAGTGATTGTGTGTTTACATAGGAGAGGCTGTTTGTTTGGAAGTAGAGGATTGTTTGAGATATGTGTGTGTGTGAGTGTGTGTGTGTGTGTGGAATTTGTTGGGTTGTCAGTGGAATGTGACTGTTTTGTTGTTGATGTTGTTAATTTGAAGCAGCTGTGGTGATGACGATTTGGGGTTTGGAGTGAGGGACATAGGTGCCAGATGTTGTATTGAATTGAATGAGGCTAACTGACTGACTGATTGACTGACTGGTCAGTCGAGCGTAATGTGATTCAGACAGGGTGATGTGTTTAGTTAGAGATAGGCATGAGGATGTTTCGTTTAGATGGGTGTGTGACTGAATAGGTGTTTTGAGTGAGAGTGAGTGAGTGTGTGTGTGTGTTGATGGTGACTTTGTGTATTTGTGATAATTGAGTAGTTGGATTGGTTGTGTTTTGATATTAGTGTTGATTGATGCAAGTGTGACACTACATGTGCCTGATTCGAGTACGAGGATACAGAGTGTCAGCTTGCTACATTGTTGTTTCCGTCCTCTTCCCTGCACAGACTCCGATGTCTGTGTCAGTTGTACAGAACGGATATATCTGTTAAATCGTTGTTGTTGTTGTTGTGTGTGTGTGTGTGTGTGGTATTATTATTATTATTGGTGGTGGTGGTGGTTTTGCAGTATTGTAGTTAATGTACAAGTTGTTGAGGTCTTTGTATTATAGTTGGTTGTTGTTGTGACGTGTGTTATTTGTGCAGATGTGGTGAGTGTATTGATGAGAGGTAAGCGAGGATTAGTTGTGCTTGTAATTGAGAGAGTGTTGTGATGGATGAGTAGGTGGAGAGACTT